TAGTACGTACCAGCAGAAGTCTGGGGAGTACCCCTGGGAATGGTTACTAAGGGTGTGGGATACTGCACGTATTAGGAAACTGGAGCAGATCTTTTGAGTGTAGTGCACTTCTTCCTGAGTAACTATCTGAACTTCAATTTTAGGAACTTTCTGGCCCTTAATTTTAGTTACAGGTCTAGACAAAATAAGTTGAGGGTGTTAATGAGGGTGTTTCTTGGGTGCTCTCAGCAGGATCTTGTAAGGCATCTCCCTCAGGCAATGCTACAGATGCAGCCCCACCTGGCATTTCAGTTTGAACAGTTTCATTGATCTGTTCAGGTGTGAGTTGTTTTACTGATAGTGGATTAATCCCCTCACCTGGGAGGGGTAGATCCAGTGATTGGGGTGGCTCAGTCGTTTCTAGGGGCTCAGCATCCTGGATCATCAGCCCATATGTTCCCATCCCATGTTTCTGGGTCCCAATTCTTTCCGATTACTGCCCTTACTTTAATCTCAGACACTGTTCTAGACCTGTAATTCAGTTGACATTGTAAGTCAGCTACTCCTATGATGAGACTGGATTTGGTTTCCGGCAATGTCAGCTCTATTACTAAAGGAGAGAAGACTCTCCTTTGTAGCTCATGCAGAGGATTTTAGGTCTGTTATTCGGCACTTGAGACGTGCTTTTGAAGTTCTGAGATTATCCCCCTCTTTGCTCACATTTCCTATTGTAAGGAGAACCAGCCAACCAGCTTCCCTAAACTTCTCATCCTCACAAAACTGCTGGAAATTACCAAACACACGGTCACCCAGGGCCTCTCCTCTCACGAGCACTTCATCTATTGCTGGTGGTACTGTGGGTATTAGCTTTGCTACTTCACATCATGGATTAGTAAGAGTGGCAGACAGCCACGTCTTTAGGGGTAGAGACAGCATTATCAATGCTGTTAAGCCTAATCAGGCTGGGGAGCCAATCTGAGAAGCCCATGTTGATCTCATTTCTCTAGAAAACCCTGTCTAACACAACTAGTAAGAGTTCTCCACATAGCAACCGTTCACCATAGACGATTCTGGGAGCTTGTGGTCTGCCGTGCCACACAAAGCTCACCTATCAGAAATTATTCCTATTAAAGAACCTCCCCCTCGATTTGGGTTCTACCTCTTTGAAAGCTTCCAAGGCTCTACCCAGTGAGTGGGTCTGAGCAACATGCATCTGTCCAGCAGAATGTGTTTTTGTCAAAGCCTAAGAAACACTAAGCCTTGGGTGCAGGGTGTAAGTTCTCCTCTGGAGGAAATGCTGTTTGCCCAGGCTGTGGAAGGCCTGGCCATTGTGTGTGTGTCTTCATTTCCTATAACTGGGCTTGCGGGCTTCTTGCTTCTTGATGCTCCAGTCCAGATAGCATGAAGCCATTGGTATAAGGCCAATAGTATGTGGCCTGTGTGACTTACAGACCTGCCACCCCCATCCCCTTTGGTGTACGTGTGATGGTAGGGTCATGAGCTCCCAGAATGGCCACTGCAGTGCAGCCCATGCTCCCTGTTTGGCGTGTGTCCATGGGCCCACGTGAATGATGCCATTCCCCCAAACGCCTTGGGGACGGGGTTGGGGTGGGCGGGATGCTTGTCAGTTTTCAGGTCTGAGTAACAGGAGTCTTAGGTACAGCAGGTCTGTCGGTCTGTCAGGTGCATCTCATGGATGACTGCAGCTGGTGTTATTATTAGCTGTATGCCTTAGCTGGAACTTAAATCTAGCTTGGCCTACAGCTGCCCCTGTTCTATAAGCCCCTAATCATGGAATGTCGGATTGCCTCTGGGGTGCCTATGTAGAGTGTCTCCCCCTTGCAGTTGAGTGGACCCCACTCAGTGAAAGGCCGCAAGACATGGTACAAGCAAAGCTTCAGTTAGCAAAGGTGCTCTGTCGTCCGCTCCAAGCAGTGCGGACAGCTTCTCGTGTCCTCGAATTGGTCTACAAGACACCAGGAAGGGGTTTCTGGAGAAATGGGGCCCAGAATGGTTATGGGATTTTCCCACAAGCTTCTTAAAGCACCCCCTTGAGGCCTGCCAGCCCTATTGTGGCAAACTGCCGTGCGTTTGCAGTTATGCTGTGATGAAGCCCTGCCATGCCCTGTCCCAACAGGCTCTCGGCTTTGACTGACATCGACTAGTGGCCGCTTCTTCCAGCTCAGGCCCTCTTGTTCTGTGAGGGAAACCTGCATGTGAGAGGAACCTTCCATGCCTGTAGCTTTCACATCTGTGGTACTGATTCCGTTCCAGAAGCTGCTGCTGTATCTGTACCCCTCACCCCCAATTGGCCTTCACACCTTTAAGACTGGGGAATAGTAATGGAGAGAAACTCACGTGAACTCTAACCCTGCTCCCCGAGTCTGAGCTCTGGCCTGTGAGTCAGTGTGTGCAGGTTGGCGTATTCCTCAGGCTCTCATCTCACTGTTCTCTGCCCCACATCCCATTGCCCCCACACATGTCTGCAGGCCCTTGGAGGACCAAGTGCATGATGACCTTGAGCCCATGTTACAGGGGTGCGTCTGAAGCACCCCACTGCCATTGAGCCTGTCCACTACCTCGGAGTGGCTGGAGGGCAATGGGGGTGGGGGGAATTCCAGCAGGGCCTCTCTCTCCAGTCCTTTGGTGCCTCTGGGGCTTGGGCAGAGCCCTTCTAGACACTGGGAGAAACATTTGGGGAAGTAGGAAAGGAGAGGTGGGTGTTCTCCTAACCAGTAATCCCTTACAACGCTAGATTTTAATAGCCATTGAAATGGCTACACAGAACTCGGGCTTATTAAGATTTATGCTCAGAGATGGAATTGTTCATCAGGACCTGTTACAGCACTCTCTGGGGGCTGCTAATAAGTGCTCAGAGGACATGCCACTGTTGTAAGCCTCAGCCTGCAGGCAGTCAGCTTGAACTGAAGCTCCCTGAATTAAGTGGGCAGAGGTACCCTACTCCCGTAAGCTGTGGCCCGAAGGCATAGGACCAACCACTCCCATGGGTCAACAAACCCAGCTCCCCAAGTTAAGTACCTGGTGGAACCTCACGCCACAAACTTGCTGGGAATTGGGAAGGCCATCACTCTGTTCCACACTGGTTCCTGGGTGCAATGCTGTTAAACTGTGGTGTTCAGTCTGTGTTCTGGATCCAGGAGGTTCACTGCGAAAGGCTCTCAGCTCTAGGGGATGGGTGGTCTGCCATTCCTGGCTCTGGCTGCTAATGAGGGCTTGGGGAATCCTGTCGGATCTTCCATTCCTTCTCATGCACACCCACGCAGGGCAAGGTCCTTTGTAGTGAGTTGCAGAGCCACGTTAGATAATTCACTGTTCTCTGTAAGGGGATCCTTCCCGACACTGGTCGAGGCCCTGAAGAGTCTTAGAGGAGTAATCCCTACAGTCAGCCTCAGGAATAGCTGCTTTGTTCCCCTGTCACTTAATAAGGGCCCACCTCGCCCAGAATCCTGGCTGTGTGCTCCCCACTTAAGGAAACTGGAATCCAAGGTTGCTCACTGAAGGCACCAGGGAAGGAGTGTATGCAAGAAGCGAGTTGAGTGCAGAGGTCAACTGAGGGGCAGGCAGAGGGGGACACAGCAGAGTTGGATGGAAGACTGGGTCTTAGAATTCCTGACACCTCTCGAAAGTAAAACAGGTTTGTTGGAGGTTTAAGAGCATTTAAACGGGTCTCCCGGCCCGTGAAAATGAACGTGAAGGCCTCTGAAGCAAGCAATGAGACTCAGTTTGGGAGGCCCTAAGATGCGGTCGGGCGGCCTGATTTGATGTGCTCAGAAGGCCAACTGTTAAGAGATTGAGCTGCGGGTAGACCAGGGGGACCTCCACTAGGGGTGAGGGTAGGGTGTGGATCACAAGACCAAATGGCTGGTGGGATGGGCCGAGTGCATGTCCTGAAAAGGCGTCCTCTGACTAGTTTTGTCCTGGGATCCCACTGTCAAGGAAGCGGCTGCTCCTGCTGGGCATAAGGCTTTCTCCCATCCAGGTTGTGGAATTCTGCACCTGCTTTTGATGAGTTCTTTGAACATGATGTCACCAAGGTCAATAGCCTCTAGGGGCTCAATTTGAAGGTTAAACAGTCATGAAGATGTTTTCAAAGGAGGTCCTCAGGACTGGGCCAGGGTCCACTACCTGCCAAATGATCAGGACCTTGTCTAGGTGCTCCCTTGGGTGCCTTCCTGACAAACTGATCACTGCAGGGGCAACAGGGATGACGTTTCCAAGTTAACGTGAGTGGTGACTAGATGGAGCTCCCATCAACAGACTGATGGGATCTGCTAGTGAGGGCGGACAAGGAAGAGCATCTTTCTGGGGAAGGCATTTCATCCCATCAAAGGGGATTCTCAGGGCGGGGCCAGAGGGAAGCCCTGCTCATAATCCTCGGGACCCTAGGCCCTGATGGGAAGGAAGGACAGGAGCTGGGTCCCTGTATTAGTCTAGGTGCTTTAGAGAAAGAAATCCACAGCAACTCATGTATAAGAGTTTTATGTAAAGAAAGTGTGCATCACGAAAACATCCCAACCCAATGCTGCCCAAGCCCACAAGTC